AATAGAAATATGTTATGGATTAATGCAAGATTAGCTTTCACAATAACTGTATGTCTAACAGATATTAATATTTTGTCCTAATTTATATTTTTGGGTTTGTCTTAAAAATAACTCTACTCAGACTTATCATTGTAATATTGTACCTGTTTGTAAGTATGTGTCTGCAATGTGGTGAAACACAGTAAGCAGGTAAGCACTTTCCTTGTGCTCCTTTAAGGGAAACAATAAAGGTATTAGTGCAGGGTAAAAAAATAAAACAAGGACAGCATAACAAGAGAACACACAAAAACAAAAGATAAATTAAACAAAAAAAAAAGATGCTTGAAATTCACATTGAGCATCACATAAAATGTTCTGCCCTTGGAAACACTTGTCAAACCAGAGGTTACGCTGAGCCTCACTTTTCATGTGAAGAGCAACAGTGTGTATACGCTTTATTAAATATAGGAAATAAGTAAAAATAATAGTAAAACGCCTGGGAGGTGACGGTTCCACTTTGAACTCTCAGGTCAGGGTAACTGAACGGTAGAAATGCATTAATGCACTAGAGCCTTACCTGGCTTTGCTGGTAAAGACGCGTCCAATAGAGGCGCAGTATCTGAACCACAAAACTCTAGAAGATAATTTCCTAGATCCTCTTGTTCAAGTCCCTCCAATCAGCTCTTCCTAAAGTTTAAAAAAAAAATAACGAAAAAATTATAAACCAATGCCGCATAAAAAACATTTTACAAACATGATGCTAGCTATCCATGGAGAATTCTGCATATTCAATATGGAATAGAAATATGTTAAGGATAAATGTAAGATTAGCTTTCACAATAGCTGTATGTCTAACAGATATTAATATTTTGTCTTAATTTATGTTTTTGGGTTTGTTTGCTTTTTGTCTTACAAACAACTCTAGTCAGACATATTACTGTAATATTGTACCTGTTTGTAAGTATGTGTCCGCAATGTGGGGAAACACAGTAAGCAGGTTAGCACTTTCCTTGTGCTCCTTGAAGGGAAACAAGAAAGGCATTAGTGCAGGGTAAGAAATAAAACAAAAAGACAAAACAACAAGAGAACATAAAAGATAAATTAAACTTAAAGGGACATCCAGACCACTTCAGCTAATTGAAGTAGTCTGGGTGTTGTGACCCTTTTGCACTTAGTGATGCAATGTAAAACATTGCAGCTCTAAGTCTGCTCTCAGTGGCAGTCTACCAGACAGCCAGTGGCGGAGATTCTGGAATCCAAACTGACTTTTGGTCCGTTATCTGAAGCTGGGCGTCCTCACGGATCTCCAGTGTCAGATTTTCCCCATAGGAAAGCATTGAATAATGCTTTCCTATGGGGAAGTCTAATGCGCGCATTAGATCTCTCCACCGGCTGATGTCGACAAGGAGGAGCGCGGACAGAGCCTGACCCAGCGCCGAGGAACATCGGCGCTGGATTCAGGTAAGTGGCTGACGTGGGATGGGGGGCACTCCAGAATTCTACAGTGCCAGGAAAACAGCTTTGTTTTCATAGCACTGGAGAATCCCTTGTAAAAAAAAATTTAAAAAAAGCAAGACACTTGAAATTCATGTTGAGCATCACATAAAATGTGCTGTCCTTGGAAAGACTTGTCAAAGTAGAGATAAAGCAGGGCCACACTTTTCATGTTTATTAAATATAGGAAATAAGTAAACATAATAGTAAAATGCCACAGAGGTGAGGGTTCCACTTTAAAGGTGCACTATAGGCACCCAGACCTTTTCAGCTCATTGAAGTGGTCTGGGTGCAATGTCCGTCGGTTTAATAATTGTAATTATTGCAGATATTGATAAACTGCAATAATTACATTGCAGGGATAACTCCATCTCTAGTTGCTATCTAACAGACCTCCACCAGAGATGATTCTGGATCGTTAGATGACTTTTAGTCACCTAACTAACGCTGAATGTCCTCACGCTGTGCATGAGGACATCCAGGGTCCGCTAAAATCCCAGAGGAAAGCATTGATAGCTATAGCGATCGCCGCCAGTGCACTTTAGGTACCCAACGTCGGGGGAGGGGGAAGCGGAGACGGAGCCTGACGCAGCACTGAGTGACATCGGCGCTGGAGTCAGTTAACCCTTTCTGCGCTGCTGAGGGGCAGCATGTGGGATAGGGGCACTACAGGTTACTATAGTGATAGGAATACAACTCTGTATTCCTAGCACTACAGTTTCCCTTTAAGCGCTCGATTCAGGGTCAGCACAGGTTTGTCTGTCTCTGGCTAACTGAGCAGTAGAAATACTACTACCTGTCTTACCTGACTTTGATAGTAAAGATGCCTCAAGAACAATCGAACCACAAAGCTCCACAAGATTCTTTTCTAGATCCTCTTGTTCTAGTCCCTCCAATCAGCTCATCCTAAGGTTATTAACAAAAAAGCAAGAAAAATGGTCACGTATGGCCACATAAAATACATTTTACAATGAAGATGCTAGCTATCCATGGAGAATTCTACATATGCAATATGGAATAGGAACGTATTCTGGATAAACATAAGATTAACTTTTACAATAGCTGAAAGAAATGTCTAACAGATATTAACATTTTGTCTTAATTCATATTTTTGGGGTTGTCTGTAAGACAGAAAGCAGACACATAATTGTAATATTATACCTGTTTATGGTTTTGTGTCAGATTCGGGTGCATCCTGGTGCCACTATAGCCGATCGAGTTCTGCGCAAAGTTGTTGGTAGGTGGACGAGAAGCCAGTGATGATGTTTAATAGATCACTGGAACCGTACAGAACAGTAGGCTGTGGATCAATGGAGTCCTTGCTAGAGTCCCTGATGCCACATAGTCCCTGTCTCCTGATGTCCTTGGGAACTCTTTCGCTGCTCTGATGAAATATTTTAGATGGACGGACTGAATTATACCCAGATTTTTGTGTGCAGTCTTTTTTACTATTAAATTGAGTAACTTGCTTGAGCGTCATCACATGATCCACGGGCCTGCTTGACTGCAATGGCGGCAGCTTTTGCTGATACAGTGCCGAGGGTCCACTACTGCTGGATTTTTGATCTGACAGCTTTGTTGATAGAAGATGGCGAGGCTGAATGTTATCCAAATGTTTGCATGTTACTAAATTGGGCAATCTCTGTCTCTCCACCTCCTTGGAAACTCTTCCACTGCTCATGTAAGACGTTTTAGATGGACTGACTGACTTATTTGTCTGCAGTGATGGCTGCTTTTGCCCACGCAGCACAGAGTGTTGTCCAACACCAACACTGCTGGCTTTTGGATCTGACATCTTTGCTGCATGCAGATGGAGAGGCTGAATCTTATTAAGGGGTTTGCATGTCACTAAAGATTTAACTCCCTGTCTCCTCACATCCTTGGGAGTTGTTCTACTATGAGATGGACTGCCTTGACTGAGTGCCATCTCATGGATGTTTGTCCGCAGTAGCGGCAGCTTTCGCTCATACAGTGCAGAGTGTTGGTCAAGTCCACTACAGCTGGATCCTGGCTTTGACGGTTTCTTTGTAAAAAGATGACAAGCCAGCATGCTATTAAAGGATTTGTATGTCAAGAAATTGCTATATTTCTTCCATGTATCCTTGTGGGGGAAGATTCGAATAAAACCGCCTCTTCTCTCTTCCTCCTCCTTGACCTCACGAATTATCTTCATCCTCTCTTGGAAGATTTCGGTCTGTCCAGCAGCTGTCTGTTGATATCCTGCTTTCACTTTTGCAGCTTTTATGGGCCCTTTGTCTATATTCTGCTGGGTATTTTGACACTGCACACCAATTAATGTCAGCGCGTCTGCAAGCAGATTTGCCTTGATTTTTAATTCAAGGGGTCCATCAGAAACCAGAGACGGCATCAGATTAACTTCCAATAGCCAGGGCTTTAAGGTTTCATCAACTAGGACATCGAAGCCGTACAATTCAAAACACTTTCTTCTGTCAGCGAGAGTTCCTTGAAACACTGAGGCAATAGGGCCTTCTGCCGATATTATGGTCTTAATAACAAGCTCTTCTATTTTAGACATGAGCGTGGCTGTGTCTTTTCCCAATCCCTTTAAGTGACGCAGCAATGCACCCATGCTCCATAAACTGCCGTGATTTTCCACTTCTGGATTTGTGGATCTCACATAGTTTGCATTTGCTTTGTTTATGCTGGTGTTGGTCAAATGCATATATTGATTTTTCATGTTCTCCTCTGTTGGTTTGTATTGATCAGTGGCAAACCTTGTCAGACCCTCTTCATAGAGGTAAATAATTAGTGGATCATATGACGTGACCAGTACAAACAGGCGTAGGTCAAATTTAAAGCCATCAACAAGAAGTGGATTTTTTATGTAACGAGAGACTAGGAGTTTTTCCGTTCTGTTTACTTGAGAGAAGGAATTGATAATCTGAATTCCTCGGCCTTGACAGGCAGAGACAGGCTTTGAGATCCAAGGGCCTTGATCCTTGGAAATAACTTTGCGGAATTCCTGGTTATCATTGGGTAGTACATAACTCTGGGGTAGGAAGTTGTATGTCTGGGCCCCATGTTTCTTCTGCAGGGTTTGAATGTTTTTGCAGAGTAGATCCTTGCGTCCCAACTCCATAGAATTGGGGAAGTGGTTGATTTTCTGATATTTGGAAAGATTTGCCAAGACAGAAGCATTAATGTATGGTCCTGTCCACATCAAATTGAAATTGCTGCTGCTGTCTTCCACTTTCTGAAACCCATGAGCAGATAGCATTGTGCTGACCGGGCGATTCCCGATACGAGCCATCTTGTATGCCAGGTGGTAGCGTTCTCCCACCTCACGCAGGCATACCTTTCCAGTTGCGCCTTCTGCTTGAAATTTCACCACTGGCGTTTTTTCTGAACCCCCAGTCCATATTATGCAGGGGTGGTCGCCTTGGTGTTCTTTCTCCTGGCGCTCAGAGGGTTCACCCTTCTTAGGCTGTTGTCCAGCCATGATTATATATTTAGCTGGTATCAATATCTGTGTAATACCAAATAATGAATTTGCTACTGCTCTCTTAGCCTCCTGTTCAGTTGGCTGCTATGCAGTGCAATGACTAAGTGGAGCAGTAGCAGCACTGTCAGCTGAGAGGAGCATAGTGATGTCAGAGCAGCACTGTGAGGTCAGAGGAGAATTGGGGGGCCAAGCAAAGAGATTTGCAGAGTTTTCCCAACAAGGTTTCAGTTCAAAGTATAGCCCTAATATCAGATTATCATAAAATTGCATTAAAATTGACGTTGCCTCAAAGATATATAGCTTATATGCTTACATTCTTCTTCATCTTCAATAAAAATTAGTTTGTTTGTTTTTTTTGCTTTAAATCACTGAAGTGGTTGTGGTCGCCAGAGTAAACCGTTAATATTGAATTTTTTTTTTATGTATGTTAATTTTTTTTTTCTCCTAAAATAGATTTTGCATTAGAAGTAGGTAGGTAGATAGACTGGTGAACACCATGTAAGCATATATTCACTGTTGTTCTTCACATGAAAAGTGCTGCCCTGCCTAACCTCTGATTTGAGAAGTTTTTCCAAAGGCAGCTCAATGTGAATTTCAAACGTCTTGCTTTCTTTTTTCAGTTTAATTTCTCTTTTGTTTTCCTGTGTTCTCTTGTTGTGTTGTCTTTTTTTGTATTATTTTTTATCCTGCTTTAATGCCTTTCTTGTTACCCTTCAAGAAAAGTGTTAGTCTGCTTACTGTGTTTCACCACACTGCAGGCAGGCACTTTTCCTGTGCTGCCTTTTTAAAGACGGTTTACATTAATTTTGTTTCACTGAACATGTCACTCGGCACATAAAATGTGCTGCCCTGCTTGACTTTAGGTGCAACACGTCTTTTCAAGGGCATTATATTTGATATGCAGGTTCAGTTAGCTTTGCTTGAATCGTTGTTTTATTTTTAGGTTAGCATTGATTTTAAATTGCTGTTTGTGTGTTTTATTTGCTGTGTTGCTTTTTTGTTTCCCTTTATGAAGCCTGCTTATTGTGTTTCACCACATTGAGAGCAGGCTGTTTTCCTGTGTGTCTCCTCGAGTACAAATAAAATCTCTTCTCCGTGTTTTATTTAGTTCTTTTCCAAGTGATACTGTTGCTTTGCACATGAAATGTTCTGCCTTGCCTAACTTCAGCTGCTACTTGTCCGTGGAGGTGCATCATATTTCTCTTTTTTTTTTTGTGTAAAACCAGAACTTTATCTTGCATAACATCAAGTTTTACAACAAGAACCAAAACAAACAGTTCTGCAGACAAACACAATACCACTCTCTGCAGGGAGATTTCTGGGTCCCTTACAATGGGCAGGAGAGCCTTAGCCCCCCATCTCTTGGATGTGGAGGTGCATTGTATTTCATGTGCAGGATCACAGTCCACTCCAGGTTTATGTGGGTTTTTTGGTGTTGATTTTGCATCTAGGAATGTGGATTTTATTTTCTATGCTGCTGCATTGTCTTTCTGGTTCCCCCTCAGGGAATAATCTATACATTGATAATCTATATATTTATGATTAGTAAATGCGGGAGATATCCTACCGAACAGATATTTAGCCTCGTCATGTCAGCAATGGCAAATGTCCATTCATTTAAATATGGGTATCAGAGCCTGAGAGAATAGAACATAAAGTAAGAGAAGGAAAGGAAAGTACATAATATAGAGAAAGAATAGGAAACCAGCGGGGCAGCTTCAGAGAACAATTATGGAGGAAACATAGCTGTAGGATGTAGTAGGAAGAGAGGTAGTAGTAGGGTGAGAGAAGGCGTGACACAAGGCCTGATACCCAGTTATACCTAGTTTGGTCTAATGCACATTTTCTGGATCATTCATTTTTGAGTCTAATACTAGCAGGCTCTATCACGAGAACGATACCAATAGCTTTAGAACCAGACAGTTCAAGGGACCAAGTTTCAGTTCTGTGAGGTGGAAGATGGTTGGCAGATTGCCGTGACTCCATATGATGTTTCCTCACTTAGTGTTGCCACATCAGTGTCTGCGAAAGTAGTGGAGGTGTAGGAGAATTAATTTTTAAATACTAGTCCTGCACATCAGTATCTGACAAACTGAGGACGTTTAAGAAGGAACCAGTGCCCTGTATTTATAGTTGATTATCAGGTCAAATGGAAACCCCCATCAGTATTTAAAATTCAGCATTTTTCTGTATTTGGGACGAGGGCCCTTCGCGCATGCAGCATGCACCATGAGAGATCTGGGACAAGCTGTAGGTACTGGCTTTGATATTGAATAAGTGAAGTAGCTTTACGTGCTGATTGTAAAATTTCTTCCTTAAGGAGGAGATCGTGTACCTTGCAGATAGCATCATAAGAGGAGTCCCTAGGTGCCACTTTGGGTTTCAAGGATCTGTGGGCCCTGTCCACCAGTCAGGTAGTATGATTGTGTTTTCATTTTTGTGGTGAGATGTTTTATCTGAGAAGCCAAGAGGTCCCTGTCATCCTCCAACTTAATGACATGTCTCCTAATACGAGAAATTTCAGAGCTGATGCTATCCAAATTCTGCTGAATGATAATATTTGTGGCAAATGCCAGCTAGGTCCGCCTGCAAAGGTAAGTTTCTCTACAGCTTCTTTTATGTAGATGTTAGTCAAGCCTTCTGAAATTGTGGGGTTCCCCGGCCGAGGTCCTTCGAGTGAGGGCACCATATTATAATAATTGATGTCTGAACCTCTCTTCTCTGACCCTCAAAATAACAAGTAACATCAGCTGATATTTCCACCGATGTCTTCACTGATGAGATCGGAGATGAATGTGGCTTCTTAGGATTGCCCATTTTAGTAAAATAGCTCCTGAGCAGCTATCACTAGATGGCCCTTCACAGTGGTGTATTTTGGATTTGTGCTGCCCTAGGCATGACGGAACTCGGGCACCCCCTAATTTAAAGGCCACACGTCTTCTTGTTAAAGTCTAACAGACGCTTTGACTGACATACACACCAACTCACTGACCGGCACTCACTGGCAGACACACTGACATACTCACTGATTTGACACAATCTGACATACAGACATGCACTGACGTGCACACACACAATCACTGACAGACACACATTAACAAACATATACACACATAGGCACACATTGACAGACATACACACACAATCACTGACAGACACACACACCTTCACTGGCCAAAACACACATTCACTGACAGAAACACACATGTACTGACAGACATACACAAACTCACTCAGAGACACTGACAGATATAAACACACACACACTCACTGACAGACAGACACACACTGACACACACACACCTTCACTGGCCAAAACACACATTCACTGACAGAAACACACATGTACTGACAGACATACACAAACTCACTCAGACACACTGACAGATATAAACACACACAGACTCACTGACAGACAGACACACACTGACATACACACACACAAACTGACAGACACACACACACCTACCTTTGGGAGAGCTGGGTCAATTTTTACCTGTGGTCCAGTGGGGCTGCTGGGCTGGCCAGGCATGTGTGTAGAAATGTAGGAAGGGTGGGAAGGCAAAAGAGGGGGCGAGGGATCTTCCTGCTCAGCTCCCTTGCGCTCTGCTTAGTGATGCCGGGCGCTGGAGTTATGTCAGAGCTTGACAAAGACCTCTGTGAAGGTCGAAACATTGCTGCTCTTTTTGTTCCATTAAATTCTGCCTGCAGCTTTCACACGAGTGCCTGGAGATTTCTTTTTTGGGCGCCGGAGTTATGTCATATTCCAGCTCCTGGCATCACTGCAGGTTGCGCAAGGGAGTTGAGCAGGGAAAGCTCACAGATCAGCACTTCCTCACCACCCACCTGTAATAGAAACTGGCCCGCTATTGGGCCCCCACAAAACACGGCTAACAAGGTATTTGCCAGGGCACTTGCATCCACTCCTGCCTCAAAGCTATTAAGGTTTAGGGAGGTGGGTTTCATAACTTTAAAAACATAATTAACCAAATGGTATATGCCCTTTGCTTAAGGGACCTGCAGATACTCTAGAACTGCAACTTTGATCCTGTTAAGTGCAAGCTAGATGCTAATGCATTGTTTATGTACCTATAGGTCCACCTAAATCTAATTTTTTAAAAATCTTTATTTTTATTAAGTTTTGTCAGAGCTGTTTAATATTTCTTTATTTTATTGGATGAACATTTCAAAGAACAAAAGTTGGGGATTTGAAGAGCATTGACCGAGAAAGCTTGTTTATGTGAGTTTATTTGAGTTCTTTATTGGGAAAAGGGGAGAATACTCCCCACTTAAGTTAACCATGGTTATCTTCATATATTCCAAAATATCCAGGTGTGTAATGAGAAGTTATGATTTATTTTTTTTAAACCATAACTTACAGAAAAGTTATAGATTCCTGTCACTGCAATGTTGGCACAGCCTGCCTTTTATCAGGGAATAAAGAAGGGAGCTTAAGGTGCAAGACATTAATGTCGTACCACTAGGTGGATAACAAGGGCATTAGTCTGAGAAAGAACTGAGACTAAGACTCAAAGTGTCACCACCCCAAGTAATTTGTTTAAGAAAACTTTATTACATATAATGATGTTTCAGTACACCACAAAAAAAATAATAATAAAAGAGCCACCCCTCACCCCAAAAAAACATAAATATACACAAATTAGTAAAATGGGGGTCACAAAACAGTGAACTGAAGTGCTTTAAAAGAGGGAACCAATAAGTCTCAAAATTTAGATGTATCAATATTATGGGTTCCAGAAAGTCCTCAATTATATTATTAGAGTCAGTGAATATCACCCACTTGGGGTATAAATTTTGAGAATACTTAAACTCATATTAGACTATTGAGCAAATTAGAGGTTATTTTGTCATAAGAAATACTTGTAACCACTTATTTATCAGCAAAATGGTTTTAAAACAGTGTAGCACAGTAGATAGTGAATGTGGAATGTCTCCGATTTATAGGTTGGGATCATGTGGATTCTAAACTGTGGTCG